TCTCATTGCTATATGTTTCTCAATAAAATTATTTTTAAAAAAACAGGTGAACAAACTCTGCAAGTTCAGGTCAGACAGGTAATGTACCCACATCGTAACAAGGCTTGCGGGACACACATCTCATGCACGCAGCACAAACACCCAGTCATCACATTATGAACCAAAGGATCCTAAACCTTAGTTTTCTTACCTGTTAAAAATGCCTTTGTAAGCAGGGGATGGTATGCCTACCTATAGTCCTAGCTAAGTGGGAGGCTGAGGCAGGAGGATTGCGAATCTGCCTGGGCGACTTAGCAAGACCCTGTATCTGCCTTCTCTGAGGACTAGAACAATACAGGATGTTAGTGTCGCTCCTGCCAGGGCTGACAGCTCCAAATGACAGCACTGCCCTGTGAGTCTGAGTCACCCATGGCCATCCGCACAGCACTGCGTTTGGAGAAGACAGGACGATGTAGCGCTAGCTCTTTCCACCCCGAGTCAACGGCACTGGCACTCCACAGGCAGGGTCACACTTCTCCGAGTCCCCTTTCTACCTCCTTCTTCTGTTCACTGCATACCTCGTGCCTCAGTCTCCCCACACCCTCCCATGCAGGCGCTTCCCAGTTGCCTCCCCTCTCCTTCTGTCCTCTCCTTCCCAGATGGCCTCTCTTGCACACTGCAGAAGTAAGCCTGAGATTTGGGGATGTGTTCTGATTTTCCTCCCCACCCACTGCCCCAGCCAGAGCAGGTGGGGCTCAAAGAGGACCCAGCATGGACCCTTCTTAAGGTGGGCATCCCAGGCTACCCGCTCTTGGTGTCCTGAGCACGCAGTATTGGGATCCCTAATCTGTTCCTCGGGGAGTGGCAGAAGTGACCCAAAGCCTGAGGGCCTGCTCTGCAGGTAAGGGCACAGCTTGTGGAAAGAGTGGTCAGGGAGGCTGCTCCAGAATGCGGAAGACTTGAGCTGTTGGAAGAAGAAAAAAAAAGACAGAAAAAGGATGAGTGGGCATTCGGGCATGGTGTGAGCATTCATGGAGAGGGCACTTGAAGTCTGCCAAAGAGCCACAGAGGAAAGGACCGGCCAATTGGCCAGCCTGGAGCTTGAAAGAAGCAGGGCCAGAAGGCAGCAGGAGCCAGATCCCTCAGCGTTTAGAAGCCAGCTGGAGATCTGCACTGCTGTCCCCCTGGGTCTTCAGGAGCCATGGAAGGTTTTGGAGCACAGGAATGCAGCAATCGAATCTGTTACTGGGCACTAACAGGCAGCCAGAGGAAGGGGAAGGTGGGATGGGGAGCTGGGGAGAAAGGGCGTAGGGGTCCCCAGGAGAGGGGTACTGGAGTAGGGACCCAGGGCAGAGCCCTGGGGCTGGAAGTAGGGGCTGGGTTCAAGGACTGGCAATGATACACAGGAAGAGGGGACTTGATAAGGAAAGCCAGGGAGTCACTGGGCTTGTGGGGAATGACAGTAGTCACTCCCTACATCGGGATCCTGACTCTGCTACCTGCTAGCTATGTGAGTACCACCTAGATTCTCAGTTTTTCCATCTGTAAAAGAAGGCCATGGTGCTATCGGCCTCACAGAGCTGTTGTAAAGCCTGAAGAGGTAATACCATATAAAACATTGAGCGCAGTGCCAGGCACACAGTGAGTACATCCGGGTCCCTTCATACATAGTAGGTTCTGTGCCAAACACTAGGCACGGATGCAAGGCAGGGACTTTGTTTCCACAGGAGGAAAAGAATATGCAGAGAAGTAAATGCCTTTCCACTGGAGCAAAAGACAAAAGAAATGGAAGCTACCAATGCCCCCTTCAGGAGTCCCCAGCCTGGGGAGTGGGTGGTGCACTGGGGCTCAGACTGTGTTAGTCAAAGCTTGGTCTGGGTTGCTGCTGTAATTCAGTCCAGAGCACACACCTGCATCACCACAGACTTGACACAAATCTGTTACCAAACAAAAGGCCCTGAGTTCCATCCCCCTCACTGAAACAAGCCAAACCAAAACACACGGCCCCACCCCAGGGAGCATCCAGGCTATTGGGTCAGATTGCCCCTTCCTGCCTGCCTACCTGGAGGCTGCTACTCTTCTCCAGGTGTCACTTCCTCTGGGAAGACTTCTGTGATTCCCACCAGGCCCAGGAGTCCTTCCACAGCACTTGGTGACCTCCTCCATGACAGCATGTCACCCTCCACACTAGCAGAGACCACACCCATGTATGCAAATGCTTCTGTCCACCTCTTGGTCTGTCTGTCTCACAAACCCTGCATTTGGGAAGGCAGAGGCAAGGGCTGACCAGGCAGAGTCTTGGTGGACAGTAAATACTGGGCAAGTACATGACAGTTATGTGATGAAATGAAAAGATAGACTGATTGACAAAGAGACAACTGGAAGACCCTAGACAGTGGGTCAAGCTACATCTCTGACACAAAACAGGATGGGGATTACCTATCCAGGGCCTCAGAGAGGACCCAGGGCAGCAAGATCAATGGAGATCAGGAGGATGCCAGCCTGCTCTGTCCTCACAGTGCCCACCTGTCCTCTGTTACTGCACACAGAATCAATAGCATTACCCTCCCCACCCCAGGACAAGCTGTCTCCCCCACTGGGGCAGCACACCTGAGGAAGACACTACAGAGGTGACACAAATCTGTTACCACGCAAAACAGTAAAGGCATCTAGCCAGAAAACTACACACTGCCCGAAGCCTCTGAAAGCAGGCTATGGCCTTTCCGCCTGGGCCAAAGCCAAAAGCAAAGCAAGTGTCCAAATCACTGCACAAGGAGTCTCAGCACCCAGGAGCAGAGAGCTGGCTGTGCCCCCTTCGTCCCAAACAGCTTTCCCCCAAGAAAAGTTCTGGGTTCATATCCGGCCAAGAGCAAGATCTTGGACAAAATATTTGGTCTCTTTGATACTGAGTTCATTATCTAGAAAATGATCACAATTAGGCAAGGGGCTTTGGAGGGAACAAAATAGGAGCCTGTCTTTGGAAGAGGCTTTTGGAGACCCCAGAGCTGCACAGACGGGGGAGGAATTTAAATCGTAATATTGATAGGAGAACAGAAAGGCAGAGAACCAAACCCCCAGTTCTTGGAACTGGTCTGTGACTGTTAAGAAGACCCCAGCATCCACTGTGAGATGGATTTTCTGAAGCAAGGTCTAAAAGAAACACAAAACAAATGGGGAGAGGAAGAAGAAAGGTATATATGTGCATAGGTGTGCACACACATGTGTATATGTATGTTCTGTGTGTTTTACATGTGTGTCATACATGCCTGTGTTTGCATATGTGTCCATATCTGCATTTGCATATTATACATGTGTATACCCCTAAGTGTGTGCGTCTGTGTATACATTCACAATTTTGTGTGTGTGTGTGTGTGTGTGTGTGTGTGTGTGTGTGTGTGTGTGTCTTCCAGGGTCAGGAGCAAGGGATAGAGGGAAGGAGAATCAACAAGAAAAGCAGAACAGCATAGAGAAGAGGAGGACTGGGGTATTCGGTTACATGATCTAAATTCTAATCAAACATCATTTAAAGCGTGTTTTATTTCAGCCTCCCGAGAACCGGTCCCTCCTGGCTGCTCACCATGGCAACGGGCCGCTCATTTCAGAAGTGTCATGCCACATTATCGTCCTGCCGCCTCACACACTCTCGCCGCCTGACAACTTCGCTCTGCCCCTTGCGACAACCATCCCTGCTCCACTGGTTTATTTTTGGTGTCAGCTGCCTCCCCTTCCCAACCCCCTCCCCATCGTCAGTGGATTGAAAGACAACCTCAGCCCTCCAGCCGGTGAGCATCGCAGCCTGTTTGGTGATAAGAGATAATTTGAGAAGATATTTGCTTACATGTGTATGAACAATCGGCTGCATTAAGACAATTCCACCCAGTGTGAGAACGGGGAGGGGGCAGCCAGTGTTCTGCTGGCAACACCCCAGGAGAGAGGAGGGAGGCACACTCCTCCCATCCCAGGGTCCCTCCAAGCTTGTGGGAGCCCTGTAAAATTCACAGCTGAGACAGCATGCCTGCTGCAAACTTGCTGTGCGACCTTGCGCAAGTCACAGCCCCGCTCTGGGCTTCCCCAACCTTATCTATCCAATATGAGGTTAGACCAAGGGGACTGGGGATCCCTGCCCACTGTGGCAATGAGTGAATCAAGAATTCTGAATAAGAGAGGGGGGCAGAGAGGAGCGAGGACTGTCCCCTGGTCTTGTCACCATTATGAAGACCGATGCAAAGAGGTTCGTCTGACGCAGCCCCCCTCTGTTCTGTGACTGACCCAGTTCAGAAATGGTGGGGTTGCAGACGGGGTCCCCATTCTGCTCCCTACTCTGCTGGAGGCTGGGGAAATCCCAGAGCTAGGGTCAGGTCATGGCCTGGAGGAGGTTTCTGGGAGACTTCCCAGCTCACTGCCTGGCCTTCCCCATCACAGAATGCAAGTCCTCCCAAAAGCCACCCTTACCCCTCAGGGTCTCAGGGGAAGTAGGTGGTGGGAGGACCAGACCCCTTGGGCCAAGCACCAAGATCAGGGGTTAAAAGGCAAAGTAGCCCCAAACTGAAACGTCCACCCACTGCCAGCCAGGAGAAAGAATCTCTGAAATCTCCACCCACTGCCAGCCAGGAGAAAGAATCTAAGATGTCATCCAGGGCCAGGCCCTTTGCACACTCAGCATCCTAAGCCACTGAGGGGAGCCCGGACCTCTGTTTACTTACCTGTCAAATGGGATTAGTAACATTCTACTGCATATGGCAGCTGTAGGATTAAAAGAAGGCTAGCTGAGTAGTTGGGGGCATGCAGTAGGTGCTCAATAAATGTCAGTTACTAGAAACAGTAAGTGAGGTCTGAGGAACAAGGGCTTTGGGTTTATAGGCGCCCCTCCCCCACACACACCTTCAGTCTACCATGCGCCAAGGACCTGGGGCTGGTCTAGCCCCAGTCAGGCCCTGTCCTGGGAAGGATGCTGCCCCACAGAAGGCTTCTAGTCCAGGAATGTGTCACACCTTGAAGAATGAGCTTTTTTCCCCTCCCTTTGTCACCCACCTGCCCAGGGCTGGGGGTAACCCGCAGTGGGGAAGGGCTCAGAGATCGCTGCAGGCCTTAAAAGACCCTTCCTCTCTCCTAAGACACAGACAATGGAGTAGAACTGCAGTGGGATGCAAGAAGAATCTCTTTAAGGTCAATAGAACCCATATCCAATCC